GGTTGGAGTGCAGTGGCACAATCTCGGCTCGCTGCAAGCTCCACCTCCCAGGTTCACGCCATTCTCCTGCCTCAGCTTCCTGAGTAACTGGGACTACAGGCACCCGCCACCACGCCCAGCTAATCTTTTGTGTTTTTAGCAGAGACGAGGTTTCACCTCGTTAGCCAGGATAGTCTTGATCTCCTGACCTTGTGATCCACTGGCCTCTGTCTCCCAAAGTGCTGGGATTACAGGTGTGAGCCACTGCCCAGCTGGGGACCAAGGTTTTATTATGCAAATGAAGCCTCCAGGTAGCAGGCTTCAGAGAGAATGGATTGTAAATATCTCTTATCAGTCTTAAAGAGTCAGTAATTCCAAAAGGGAAGAGGGTATAATCAGGCATGTCTGGCTCCCCCTTCCCATCATGGCCTGAACTAGTTTTTCAGGTTAACTTTGGAATGCCCTTGGCTGATAGGAGGGGTCTATTCAGACGGTTGGGGGTGCCTTGGAATTTTATTTTTGGTTTACAGAGCACAGGCCCAGAAATGAGAACCAGGTTTAGGTCTTGCTCTCCTACTCTCCACTGTGTGACTTGGGCAAGTCATCTAATCTTTCTAAGCCTCAGTTTTCTCATTTGTAGAATGGAAATAATGCCCTTGCTTACTTCATAGTGTCACTCAGAGGCACAGACGATGGAGAGGCAAAATTCTTGTCTTTAACTGCCCTGAAGCTTCAGGGAGGAGTTGGACAAGTACACACACAATGTGTTGCGTACTACACCAGAGGTATGTCTGGGGTGTGGTAGTAGCAGAGTGGAGGTAAACCAGTTCTGCCCAGGAGGAGACTGCAAAGCATGGGGCCTGGTGGAAGTAGCCCTCCAGGGCTTTGGGCTCTAATGTTTCTTAAACAGTGGAGTGTTAACTGTATTAAGTTTCATTTAGTCCCCACAACAAACCTGTGAGATAGGTGTCATCCATTTTACGTATGAGCAGCTGAGGCTCAGAAAGGATCATGCATTGGCTTGGCCTGGTATTTATAGAGCCCCTATTGAATGCTAAGGGGCGCAAATCTAAGTTCCTTCCTTGTGGAGCTCACATTCCACAGGTGAAGTCACTTGCCCAAGACGAGGCTGGAATGTCAGAGCCAGGATTCAAACCCTCATCTGGTGGCTTCTTACCTCACCCTAGAACTCACTAGCCCTCCGGACGTCCTCTTACAGGGAGCATAGACTGTCTCTGCCAGCCCCTGTGGGGAATTTGAGGATTTAAGGGCAAGGCTGGGTCAGGGATAGGAGAGGCCCTGCTATTCCTATGGAACCTTCTGTTTCCCGAGCATTCCCTGGCAGCCCCTCCCCAAAGAAAGATTGAAGGCCTGACCGTGAAATGTTTTCCCCAGGGAGGCAGGGCAGGAGAAGCTTCCCCAGGGGATTTCAAGGGAGGATGGAGGTGGTCTCTGTTCTGGGGTCAGAGAGTGACACCCTCTTCCTGCTGAGGTGGGGAATCCCCTTGGATTTCTCTGGGTTTATGGGAGAGGCCTATTGTTTTCTTACTGATCAGGGCCTCAGGGGAGGAAAACTCAAGACCTGGCACATCATAGGACTAAATCAGCCTCTGGCATCTGAGTGGCTCCTTAGGCTTGCGGCTCATTCCTGCCCTCTCATGCCCTCAGCCTCAGGCTGCCGTGGGACCCGTGTCACTGCCACTGGACAGTGATATTTTGTTTTAACTCAAGGAAATAAGAGATTGGCAAACCCCCTTCTCCAAGGAAAAAAATGCAGGATTGTTCATTAGAGCATTTGCTCGTAGTGAAAATCATAGGAAACAATGTAAATGGCCAATGTTTAGGAATTAAATAAAATGTGGTAAAAATGTACATGTAATGAAATACTTTTAATGCAGCCATTAAAACTCATTATGTAGAAGAAAATTAATTTCATGAGAAGAGTGCTTTATAACAGATTTAGTCAAAATTCAGATCATAAAACACAATGTACACAATCTCATTTTTAACCCAAGGAAATAAGAAAAAAAATACCTATATGTGTGCATAGAAGAATGTCCAGAAGGATGCATCCAAAGTTAATTGTAGTTATTTCTGGGTAGTAGAATTATACGTTTTCTCCTGTTTTCAATATTTCCAAGTTTCCTTCAGTGAAAATGCATGTATTTTGTAATCATGGATAAAAAGTTCCCACAGTGTGTATTGGCGAGAGAAGGATTGTTTCCTTTTGGCTTTGCACTTAGATAGCCCAAGGCCTTGGCCTTGTTCCAGGAGTGCAGATATTGTAGAAGCCACCGGGAAGACTGGGAGCAGTAGAAGAGAGGCCAGCTTAAGGAGAATAAACTGGGCATTGCTGTCCAGGTGTCATCCTAAATGTCACCTCCCAGAAAGGCACCTGACCACACAACCTGGCCAAAGGAGGTCACTCCCACACTTACTCTTTACATTTCACCCCAGCTTGCTGTCTTCATAGCACCCGTCCGCATCTGAAGTTATCTGCCTGCGTATCCATTTCCTTGGTGATTATTTATCTCCTCCACAGAAGGCAAGCTCTCCAAGAGCAGAGTCCCTGTCTGTCTTGCTCACTTACTTCTCATCAGGAGAAAGCCAGATCTTGGTCAACAAGCATCTGAGGACTTGCTCAGCAGCCCCAAGCTATGGGCATTTATCCTAAGGCTACACACAGCAGTGAGAAAAAGGAAATAACTTCTTAGGAATCTAGAAACAGGTGGAGAGCTGGCTTATAGGACCACACCTGGGTGGCGCTTAGCAACCTGGAGGACCTGGCGCAGTGTTAGTAACAACAGTGGCCACGCACACGTGTTGAGGAAGTACCAGCTTTGTGTTTTCTCTTAAGGTAGAACCAATGTAGGTTAGATCCCTCTCCCTCTGCTTCCAGCCCCCCTCCTGCCACCAGCCAACTCTATCACTCAGCTGCCAACTTCAGCTCCTCTCTTTAGAGCCTTCTGTAGTCAGGTTCTCACTTCAGCCATTCCACTGAATCATCCCTGACCAGGATACCTGTGACTCCAAGAAGCTATATCTCTGTCTTCATATTATTAAATAGTTGACCTGTCATAGTGGACTATGCCATCCTCCTCAGAAGTCTTTCTCCAGGTTTCCCTCCTACTGTACTTGCTAGTCCTTTTCAGTCTCTTTCGCTGAGCTACTGAATGGGGCTCAGCCCTTGTACAGCTTCCCTATTTTTTTATTTTATTTTATTTTTTTATTTTTTTTTGAGACAGAGTCTTGCTCTGTCACCCAGGCTGGAGTGCAATGGCATAATCTCCGCTCCCTGCAACTGCCACCTCCCAGGTTTAAGTGATTCTCCTGCCTCAGCCTCCCGAGTAGCTGGGGTTACAGACACCCACCACCACGCCCAGCTAATTTTTGTATTTTTAGTGGAGACGGAGTTTAACCAGGTTGGTCATGCTGGTCGCAAACTCCTGACCTCAGGTGATCCACCCGCCTTGGCCTCCCAGAGTGCTGGGATTACAGGTGTGAGCCACTGCACCCAGCTGACAGCTTCCCTAATGACGTCCACCCTCTTGGTGATCTCATCCTGTGTCACAGCTTTAAAGAACTATGTGCTGAGCACTCACAAGTACTCATTTCCAGCCTGGACCTCTCCCCAGACTCACAGTTCCACCTGCCTACAGTCTTCTCCACTTAAGTGCCTAAAAGGCATCTCACACTTACGTCCAAAACCACATTCCTTATCTTCCCACAAAACATGCTCCATCTGTAGGCTTCCATTCAGAAAATGGCAATTCCATCCTCCCAGATGCTCAGGCCAAAACTGGGAATCTTCCTGCTACTCCCAGCCAACTCTGTCCTGTAGTTCACAGCTTCACCTCCTTTCTTTTTAACCTGCCCCAGTCAGGTTCTAACCCCATTCTTTTTAATCTCTCACTTCCAATCCATCAGCAAATCCTCCATGCTACTGCTCTGGTCCAAGCCACCATTGTCTCTTGCTGAGATTTCTGCCACAGCCTCCTAACTGGTTATACTCTTTCTCTCAGTTTATTCTCAACACAGCATCCAGAGTGATCCTGTTAAAATGTGAGTCACATCATGTCACTTCTCTGTAAAAAACCCTCTAGTGGCTCCTGTCTCGGAATCAGAGCCCAAGTTCACACAAGGACCTCCCTTGAATGCTGTGAATACTGTGGAGCCTCTCGCTACCTCTCTGATCCCTCTCCTACTTCTCCCTTATTCGTTCTGGCTGCACCACCCTCCTCACTGATCTGTTAACACGTCAGACAGGCCCTCACTGCCACGCTGTTGCACTTGCCATTCCCTCCACCTGGCAAGCTTCTTCCCCATTAATTCTCAGGGCTTATGTCCTCACTCTTTTCAGGTAACTTTGTTCATAATTTACCTTCTCAGGTGTCTAGCCTTCTCTGGACACACATTTTATAATTTTGACACCCCTTCTCACCTTCTGCCCCAATATTCCCTACCCCTCTCTCCTGCCTTGTTTTTTCTCCCTAGGACTTACCACTTCTGATTCCTATATTTTTAATTTATGTATTTTGTTAGTTTTTGGTCTCTTCACTACAACCACTCCCCACCCTGCCGTCCGGTAGACTGCAGGCTCCCTGAGGGCAGGGTGTTAACCTTTTTTGTCCAATGCTGTATTCCCAGAGCCCTAGGACAGTGCCTGGCATATATAGGTGCTCAGTAAATAGCTGATGAATATCCATGAAAATGAATGAGGGACAACTTATTTTTTATACAAGGCCTTGAGACAAAATGGAAAGGGCACTGAGGTTTCTGCCAGTATAGGAGCATTAACAGACCAAATGAGAAAGAAACCCTCTGAGTGGAGAATGCACCTGGGTGGAAGCTTGTGCCTGTGTCTGCCCTGGGCCAGCATGCTGCCAACTCATACCTCAGTGGCTTTCAAAGAACTCGCCACAGATGGGCTCTCATCTTTCAACTTCCATCCAGGCTGACTTTGTTCAAAGGCCCACCTTCAGTGCCCTGTTTCAATCATTTACTTTCCTTGTTTTTTGCAGGTACCAGAGTTTGTAGCCCATTGGAGGAAAACACATCAAGGTAAGAAAACAGTAAGACCACGTCTTTTTTGGGACTTCCCAACCCAGCCTTGGAAACTGTCCAAGGAGGACCAGGGTGCTAAGTGGTGGCAGCTGGATAAAGGGAAGGCCCAAGAGACTTTGTGTTGACTTCCTGGATAGAGTGAGAGTCCTGGGGACAGCGAGGCAGCTCAGTATAGTCAGTGATGGCTGTGAGGTCTTTAGACTCAGGAAGACAGTGTTTCACTTGGGAAAATATGGCAGCCTCCCCCAAGCCAGTTGGTTGTGGGCCCACAGCATGGCTCTCCTGCCCTGCCTTCCCTACCTCCTTCTGGGTTTCCCCTTCCTCACTTGCCCAGATGCGCTGCCTGGCCCACTGAAGGCATAGCAGGCTTCTGCAGAGGGTCTAGGGCTTTCTTCTGAGATGGAGTCTCACTCTGTCGCCAGACTAAAGCACAGTGGTGCAATCTCGGCTCACTGCAACCTCCGCCTCCCGGGTTCAAGCGATTCTACTGCCTCAGCCTCCCAAATAGCTGGGACTACAGGCACACACCACCATGCCCAGCCAATTTTTGTATTTTTAGTAGAGACGGGGTTTCACCATGTTGGCCAGGATGGTCTCGATCTCTTGATCTCATGATCTGCCCACCTCGGCCTCCCAAAGTGCTGGGATTACAGGCATGAGCCACCGCACCTGATCTTTTTTTTTTTTTTTTTTTAAGCAAGACTGGTTTAGTTCAAAAGGTGTATACTAAGATCTTCCTAGTATAGGGCTTCTCTGATTCTGTGTTTAATCTCAGTCCAAATTTTGTTAAGATCCTCAGCAAATAAATGGATGTGGGAAATGTGTGATTGGGAGAGAGGCAGCTTTTAAAAATGTGTCTGGCTTTTGACCATGCAATTCCACTTTCCAGAATTTATTCTAGGAAAATACTCATACTTGTGCAAAGTTTATGTACAAAGATAGTTATAACTGCATTGTTTATCATTTACAAAAAGGAAACATCTGAAAGCCCAACAGAAAGGAATTGGTTATTCCACGTTGGCACATTCATACAAGGGAATGTCATTAGGCAGAATGATGAAAATATATATTGATGAGAAAGATATTTGAATGTACCATTTTTTAAAAAAAGAAATGGAAAATCTTACAAACCATTCAAGGAAAGTAACTTTGGACTCAGCCTGAAGGGTTGAAATTGAGCTTAGTCTCTTAATCAAGTTGGGAATTCAGGCAAGTAATGTGATCTCCCTGAACTTGTTTCCTGCCTGTAAATGGGGCACAATAACACCTAGCTTGTGAAGTTGGAAGGATTAAGAGAGATTAACACATCTAAAGGCCTCAGCACAGCCCAGTAGGTGATGATTGCTCAGTAGCTGGGTGCTTAGATGAGACTGTGATAGTATTTTTACCTATTTATAAGCCTGGAAACATTCTGGAAATTCATATACCAGCAGTGGAGTTTTCTGACTAATCGAATCATGGATGATTTTTAATATTTTCTTATTTTTCTACAAAGAATATCTCCTGCTTATCTAAGGATGGTATAGTTTTTTAAAAGTGACAATTTAAAAGGTTAAAAAAAAAAGTAACAATTTAAAAGGTTTAAAAAAAAAAGTGCATTTCAGCAGGTAAGTTTGTTAAGTAATCCCTGCACAGAGCTCTAGAGAACTGAGGGAGAGGTGGGAAAGAAAGGGAATAGGAAGAATAGTGGGTAGAGGAAAAGAAGGGGAGGTCAGACCCCAGGGCTAGTGGCCAAGGAGATGCACCTCAGCGGTAACGCCGGAGCCCCAGCAAGCGTTGTATGTGTCCTCCCATCCCCTATGATTGGCACCTCCCGGGGGAGCTCCAGGTAGGAGATGGTAACCAAGGCTCATCTGTCCCAGCTTCTGCTGACAATAAATGTGTACAGCCTCTTTTAGCTGCTGAGACAGCCTGACTATAGCACATCCAGGGAGAGGCCCTGTGGCTCTAGTCCTGGGCCTGGCTCATCCACCTTTGGTAAACCCAGCATTTTTTTCCACGTCCTGAGTAGGAGAGGCAGGGCATCCTAGTGAATTCCTAGAAGTCATTCTAAAAGGATTAGCACCTCTCTTCTTTAGCAGCCCAGTAGGATCTATACCCAAGAGACAGGTCTCCCAAGCAAATACAGGCTTCCAGGAAAGGGAAATGGTGACCACCTAAGGGCTGCCATTCCTGGCTCTCATCCCCACCCACACCCCACCAACTGCCTTAGTGGCCTGTGACATCAGGAGGAACCCTTCCATGCTGATGGTGCTTATGCCCACCTATGCCAGTTCATTGAGTATTCTTAGAGAGACATGACTCTTCTATATAAGCGAATTTTCCAAATTATTAAATTTGATCCCATCACATTGCAGTTTTAAAATTGTACCCATTTTAAATTAATTTCTATTTCATCAAATTTATCAAAATAATACACAAATTCAAAATGGCTGGAAGAGTTGATTTTGAATGTTGTCACCACAAAGAAATGACAAGTGTTTAAGGTGATAGGTATGCTAATTATCCTGATTTGATCATGACACACTATATGTATGTCTAGAAACATCACACTGCACTGCAATTATTATGTGTCCATTAAAAATAAATAAAAAATAATGCATACGTGGCCGGGCGCGGTGGCTCAAGCCTGTAATCCCAGCACTTTGGGAGGCCGAGACGGGTGGATCACGAGGTCAGGAGATCGAGACCATCCTGGCTAACACGGTGAAACCTCGTCTCTACTAAAAATATTAAAAAAAACTAGCCGGGCGAGGTGGCGGGCGCCTGTAGTCCCAGCTACTCGGGAGGCTGAGGCAGGAGAATGGCGTGAACCCGGGAGGCGGAGCTTGCAGTGAGCTGAGATCTGGCCACTGCACTTCAGCCTGGGCGACAGAGTGAGACTCCATCTCTCAAAAAAAAAAAAAAAAAAAAATGCATACGTATGGTTTAAATATCAATTGTACTGAGAAGCCCATAATAAAAATCCCTTCCCCACCTTTCGCAGTTTCCCTCTCTATAGGCTGCCTCTTTCAACCATTTACTAATTTCCATTTCTGTTTATACTGTTTTTTGATCTACCAATTTTAGGCATTTGTTGACTTCTTGTGGTAGATGAGGATTGAACTTTCCTACAGAACCATCCCCACTTTTCCTCCCTCCATCCTTCCAATAAGAACATAACACAATCTGTGGTTAACTCAATAGTGAGTGTGGACATATTCGTCACTGCTGAGTTATGTAGCATCTTTGAGTTCCGGAAGATTTTCTTATATTATTTCTTTAATAATTTTCTTCCCTCTGTTTTATCTGTTGGATCATCTGGATTAATGTTTTAGTTTCCTTATATTTTCTCTCCTGCTTTTCATCTCTTTGCCTTTTTGGTCTATTTTCTTGGGAAACCTTCATTGACTTCATACTCCAATCCTTCTGTTGATTTTTTTTTTTTTTAATTTTGGCTTTCTTTTTCTAATATCCTAGTACTCATTCTTGTTCTGCCTATTCTTTTTCAAAAATACCACATTCTTTTTTATGCATATACTGTCTCCATCTTATTCTTCTTGAGGCACTATTTATTTTTCATTTGTCCATTTGTCTTAATAGTCTTCTAGTCTCTATTTTGTTTTTGTTTCCAACTGGAGGTGGCAGCAGTGGCGGGGCTGGTTGTTGTTGTTGTTGTTGTTGTTGTTGTTGTTGTTCTTCTTCTTCTTCCTTCTTCTTCCTTCTTCTTCTTCTTCCTTCTTCCTCCTCCTCCTCCTTCTTCTTCTTCTTCCTCCTCCTCCTTCTTCTTCCTCCTCCTTCTTCCTCCTTCTTCCTCCCTCCTCCTCCTCCTTCTTCTTCTTCTTCTTCTCCTCCTCCTTTTTCTTCTTCCTTCTTCTTCTTTCTTCTTCTTCTCCCTTCTTCTTTCTTCTTCTCCCTCTCTCTGTCTCTCCATCTCTCCTTGTTGGAGGCTTTCCTTAAATGCCAAATATCTCAGCTATCTGCTGGTATTTATTAATGGAGCAATAAGAGGCTGAACTAAACTCTGCTTGGGCAGAATTTATCAACTGGGGTTTCACTACAGGAAGCAAGCCAGTCTTTTAGTTAACAAGCCTCCAATGAGCACCTTTTTTTTTTTTTTTGAGACGGAGTCTCGCTCCGTCACCCGGGCTGGAGTGCAGTGGTGCGATCTTCGGCTCACTGGAAGCTCTGCCTCCCGGGTTCATGCCATTCTCCTGCCTTAGCCTTCCTGGTAGCTGGGACTACAGGTGCCCGCCACCACGCCCAGCTAAGTTTTTGTATTTTTAGTAGAAATGGGGTTTCACCATGTTAGCCAGGATGGTCTCAATCTCCTGACCTCATGATCCACCCACCTTGGCCTCCCAAAGTGCTGGGATTACAGATGTGAGCCACTGCACCTGGCCATGAGCACCTTTTCTCTAGAGCTAGGTTTCTCGGCCTTGGTACTAGTGACATGTTGGACCAAAGTCTCGTGCACTGTAGAATGTTTAGCAGCACCAGTGACTTCTATCTACTAAATGCCAGTAGTAACCCCCCTCCCAGAGATGTGATAACCAAAATGTCTGTAAACATTGCCAAATGTCCCCTGGGGGACAAAGTCACCCTGTTGAGAACCACCACCCTGAAGCCATTCTGCTCTCAAGAGAAGCATTCTAACTCCTAGTTCTAGTTATTGATCACTACATAACAAACCTCCCCAAAACTTAGTAGCATAAAACAACCACCATTTTTAGGGCCACTGTCAAGGATTCAGAAGGGCACGGCTCTTTATTCTACAATGACTGGGATGACTGGAATGACTGGAGGTGACTGGAATGACTGGGAGTTGGAACAGCTGGGGCTAAAGGGTCCACTTGTAAGATGGTTGTTCACTTGGCAAAGAGAGCTGGAAGGCTGGGCTCAGCTGTTGAGAGACTACACATGGTGTTTCCAGCACCATGGCCTGGTCACTGGGCCTCTTACGAGGTAGCTCAAGTCTCTGGTGTGAGTGTTCTGGCCAGCAAAACAGAAGCTGCATG